ACACACACACACACACACACACACACACACACACACACACACCCTTCATATATACTGCCCCCGTGGACAAAGTGACACCAATGTAGAATTAATCTATTAGCTGCCCACAGACATAGATCTCGGATATGAATGGTTGTGAACTGGAGCAGACAAACTGGCCTCTTTCATGGTATCAGTCAGCAGCCTTGTCTCCATTACATCACCACTCTAGATCTTACCCGTGCTGTCATCACTCAAGGACCCCCTCATATATCCTCTGTTTGTGGTTGTTCCTCTTAACTGTCATGTGCTGTCAGCGCTGCAGAAACAGCAGCTGAGCCCATATTTCAAACCGCCGGCGAGGTTGGAGTTGCCGGTTCAGGTTTGACAGTCCATTGTAAAGGATGACAGCCTTGTTGAGATTGTTTCACAGCTGCGGCGAGGAGGTGAGGAAGAAGGCGGGCCAAAGGAGAGGAAGGTCCTTCACAACCATCCTAGCAACCGCACAGATCCGCCGACTTGTTAAGAATGTGTGGTTGCTCATCAAAAGTGACATTACTATAGAGACACACCATCAAGGTTAACTTTCACTCTGACTTTAACAACTTTACCATTTTCCCAACATCACAACTCGATTTGCTGTTACAAAAGACGCAGTGATCTCTCCGAGAAAAGATGTGTTTCTTAAAGCAGCAGGGCATCTGGCTGCACGCTGTCCGTCATCACTCCCAGCAGCCTCAGCTCTTTAACCCTCCAATCCTCTTTTCCCTCATTCACACAAACACTCGTTCTCTCGCTCACAGATTTTCATTTTGATTTAGTCATTACAAAAAAATTGGAGAATCTAGAGGGGCTAAGAAAGACAAGGTTTTAAGGAGGCTATTGAACCAGGTCCCTGCGGCTCAGCAGATCTTCAACCCTGTGCTGCTTCCTATTTGCCCAGAACCATAGAGTGGCTGAGAGTCAACACAAGCTGAGACAAAAGCAATAAATAACCTCCCGCATATGGGTCATAACCCAACATCCACTGAGAGAGAGGGGAATAAAACTCGCTGCCGGACAGCGGCTGATTTACAGAAGCTTATTGAGGCCTCAGAGACCTTAAACGATTGGTTCAGTTGCTCCGCGTGTGTTTACGTGTGTGTGTGTGTGTGTGTGAAACCGTAGATTTGCGTGCGTGCAGGCACCTTTCATAACAGCTCTTTGCATCTGCTGGCACAGATTGTTTTATGTTCTTAAAGAACCTGTGAGTTGCACCAGAGCTTTGCTTTACTTAATACAAAAAAGCAAAAAAAAGGACGAGCACAAAAAAAAACAAGACAATGACAAGGGAGCCTCAGATTTAAGAGAGATTTTATGCACGTCTGGGTCCCTGGTAAACAAAAAGATAAAGAACAATCAGATAAGATCATAGAGGAAGAACACAAGCTGCTTTCATCTCAATGTCTATGTGATTATACATGATGGAGTCTCGCTTCAAGGGGGAATTGGTAACCACATTCTTCCTTCCTGTTTGTTTTTCTCCTGATTTTTCCTTCGCTTATACACTAGTCGGAGAAAAAAAAGATTGGATATGTATTTTTATGATTAGTATTCTGGTTTATTAACATAGCTTCCTTTTATATGACAGATCATTTTACCTGAAATAATCCCACAATGTGAGCTCCACTTTTTGATCAATGGTTTTTTTCTACGGATTTAATTTAATACCATTTTTAGAGTTTTTGGATATTAGAATCAGACTTTATTTCAGAAACTTGTGTGTCTGCTTGCCAGAGACAACAACTTAGATTTGAAAAGTCTGTTTGTTGCTGGTTTCTTTGTTAACCCTAAAAGCGATTTCCACCAAACTTAGTAAAGGGAAGAGGCCTGGAGCTGAAAAGAACCCATGACAGGAGGTCCTTCATATGTGGCCCAGGACGCATAAGTGTTCACACTGTTAAAAGAATGTGGACTCATGTGACCCAGAGCATGTGAGAATGTGGTCAGGTGTGATCAGATCCGTGTCCAATCTGAGTGCGTTCACATCTGTAGCAAAGTCCTGTTGATACACGTGATCGAGACACTTTGGCTTCACTTTTGGGCAACAGCCATGTTGTCCATCTTTTTATATTGTCTATCCAATGTGGATTCAGAGACAGATCCAGGTTATTTTTTTCACTTTATTGCTTCAAGACAAATATATCACTGAGGTTATCAGACCACCTCTACTATAAGTAGAAATATTCTTTTACCTCTGTTCTCTGAGGAAATAATCCACCTCTTTAGCAGCTAATTGCTCGACTGTGTTCCCCAGCCTTCAGCTCTGTGGTGCTGAGCTGCTTGTGAAAAGCAGATTCTTAGAGATTGTTGTGTTTAAAACAGCTGCTTGCTGCGACATGGATGAGAGCTGCGAGCGTGAACCAAAATCATTCTGTGCCATAAAACAAAGGAGCCAAAAGACGCAAAAAAATCTCTGTAGAACTGAGAAGAAAGGCGGAGGTGGGCGATGTTTCTCTGTTTTCCAAACAAGTAGTCATGTGCTCCATTGTTAATTTAAAACATATTGATTATACCAGCATTAAATTCCAAAAGGCATCATAAAAATGTTTTATGGGTCTGAACTCAGGAGTAGCAGTGCTCTGGTATTGAAGAATGATTATCCACACCCTGCCCCAGTACTGGTCTAAAGGTGTTAGGGGGCTGTTACGCTCTTTCGTTTGTCACACGGCAAGACTGATGAAAAAGTTCATGTGATTTATGTCCCTGGACAACAAACAGTGAAACATCCCTCAAACTGTGGAGGTGACGTTGGACTTCTCTGGTGGGAGACACCGTCCTCGTCTGGGCAGAAAAGGTCAAAACATTCCCACATGCTTCCTTCATCCGTCATGGATACATGCACACTGAGGGAATGGCAGGTTGCCATGAGCTGCCACCCCTCTCTATAAACACACACACACACACACACACACACACACACACACACACACACACACACACGGATAAAGATTGTAACTCGCACAAGGTCCTGCTCTCATTTTATCTTTGTGTCTCTCTCGTAACTGACTGACAAAGACTTAACTGCATCAGTCATGTGATGACACCACAGGGATCCTAATTCCTCCCATTTATCGCTAATTCACTTTCACACCTGTTATTAAAAACTGCGTGTGAACATGTGCAGGTACCGCATCTATTTTGGATGTGTTTCATGATATCTTTTTTACACTCTCTCTGCCAATGGGAGAAAACAACCAGGAGTTATAGCAGCGCTAAAAGCTACAGCCTCAACAAGTGTGAGTGTGATGTTTTATTCATGATCACCTCCTCCAGTGCAGACTCGCTTTAATTCATCCCCACCTGCGGTCTGTCTCACGCCTGCCAACACACACCAGGTGTTTGGCGGTGTGTTTATATTTTCAAAGTGCCTTTTTCTAATTGTGTACAACAGGTTTTTTCTATTTTTACGATAATAAGGCAACTGACCTTGCGTGCTGGTGGATTTTAACTGGGAGGGATGAGCCCTGCAGGATAACACCATAGTGTGTATTGAAAAAGATGCTTGAAGACAGCCGGGCTGATTCGAGTGTGGCCTTTCATTTAATAGGCCGCCCTTCACGCCGGAGTGGCTGTCTGAGCACTGACCTTTGACCTTTCCCATGTCTTTTGCTGCCCGATTAATCCCGAAGAGGTTAATCACATGGTAATAAGAGTCTGGCAGTCATTGAGCAGACCTCTTCACAGTGTGTGGCCAGTTGAACAAGCGGAAGGCGTTGATTTCGTAATAGCAGGTTTATGCGTCTCTGTTCAATTCTGCTCCGTTCCTCACACGAGCGAGTCGTCATTTGCCTTTTTCGTAATTTGTATAATTCAACCATCCTCCCACTAGACAAGAAACTCAGCCTTGGCTTAACTGAAATGACAGCATTTAAGCTCTGCTAATAGGAATCCACTGAAGAAGCATCAAGAGCTTAGGTTAACCCCGGCCCGCACCGGGAACATGCTTCGTCATTTGAGGGTTGTCTACGCCTCACTGTGAAATCCACACGATGTTCCCACCAGGGGAGAGCGTGTGTTGAATAATAAAATATATCGCTCTGCCTCCCGACCTTTTCGGCTCGTGGCCTCTCATCACAGGTTGCATGTGTCTCCTACAGTTGTCAGCAGTTCACAATCCTGGATGGATTTATGAGTTTAAATTATTCAGTAATAGACGGTCATACGCACACACACGCACAAATAAGATTAAAGCAAAGTCTTATGAAACCATATTCATGTCACAGAAATTAATTTTTCTGCTTTCATTTTGCTTTTAATCATCTCATGACCGCTGAGATAAACCTTGCAAGTCATTGCAGGGGTCTCTAACCCCTGGTTGGTAATCCTAGCATGTATGTTAACCCTAATGTTCTGCTCTAGGCAATAAAGACCCCGCTCCTCATCGATCAAGGTTATGTTCTTTTCTGCTTTCCTTTGATTTTTTCTTTGTTTCTTTATTAGAAGTTATTACGCAAAAACTATTCAAGTGATTTCCATAAAAGTTTGTGGAGTTGTGGGACATAACCCACGGAATAACTAACACAATTTTGCTGCAGATAAGGATCAGGGGGCTGATCTAGTAATTTTCTTTTCACTCACTTTTCACTGTAACATTGTGAAATTATGGTGTTTTTGTTGTTGTTGGTTATTTATTTATTTTTTTGACCATTTTTACTTTCTCTGAGAATGATTCATGGATCTTGATTAAAAATATCAGACATGTTTAAAGGACTGATATTTATGAGTGCAATTTAGTCCAAATGAAAATCTGGATCTAGTGGATTTAAATGTGGTCTCATAAAGAGACTGTTGAGTACGGAAGCGTAATGCATTCACTTGAAAAAAAGTTTGGTTTGTTTTTTTGAATAATTTTGTCTGTTATTCTGACAATTTTTTTTTTTCCTGTTTTTTGGACACATTTTTTTTTTTTAATTATCGAGATCCTTTGAACTCCCGCGAGAACCTCCAACCTGCAAGTGACTCCCATGGACCTACGGGGACTCCTGCCCGCACATACAAGCCCCATCTTCAACTATCTACCGTGACGGGTAAATTACGGGATCCATGGAGCATGCCATATCTGCCAACTGATCCTGGAGAAACATGAGCTGAGTGTTATTCCAAAAAACAAACCAAAAAATATACTCTTTTTTTTTTCAAGTGAATGCAATACGTTTGCGTAGTTGAGGACTGTTGTATGCACCTTTTCAACGACATGATTTGTGTCTGCTACATAAACTCATCCATTACTTCTAAATATCTGTGCATTACAGAGACAACACTTAGAGTCTCCAATTAACCCAACAGCAATCTGCACGTCTTTGGGCTGTGTGCTCCACCGTGCCTATCCGCACTTTACATCCAGTCCTCAACAACTTAATAAGAGTTGTTTTTAATATGTCACTGTGTTCATATAAGGCAAACAGGGAGTTGCCCCTCCCTGGGGTCTAATCAATAATATAATAGTTGATGCGTAGCCCATATAATATATGAAACATGAAATGCCTGCTTATTAGAAAGTAAGGCTTTTTGAGCATTTCCACATTTTGTGACTTTTGTCAAACGTGCAAAACCCTGACAGGTTATTACTTTAAGGTCTGTAAAAAATATAAAGACGAATTTGAGGTAAAAAATTGGTTCATATTTTGTACAAATACAGCAGAGGGATTTCTGGTTAGAATAATTCATTATTAATTACTTTATTTCAAATTGATCAACCTCAGATAAACATCACAGCTGTTTTTTTCTTTGCTCTGCTCACACATTGCTACAGACTCTTGATCCATTGATAAACCTGCTGTTACATTCAGTAAAATCACTGTGGTCCTAAATCCAAATAGTTCTGCTGTTGGCTCTTTGACCAGCAGGTGGAGCTCTTATCTTTAGGTTTTACACACAGACACTCGCACACGCACGCACGCACGCACACACACACACGCACACACACACACACAGCCGATCGCTCCTCTGCATCAGTTTTGATGATCTATGCTGTGGAGTGGTGCTTCCTGTCCATGTCGTTCCTGACAGTGACAGACAGAAAACTAAATTCAAATGATAAACACATACACGGAGGAACATCTCACCACCTCCTCCTGCGTTCGTTTGCAGTGATGAACTGACCTAATTTCAAATGGGAAGGAATAACCTTTTAAACATGCACTGTCAAATATATTATGCATAGCTGTCCTCTTAGTCACTCTCATGCGAGAAAGTAAAAGAGTTGTTTCCTTCCATCACATGCGAAAAAACAACTTTAAATAAATGTGGTACAGAACCCCCCGCGATATCAAAGGCAACAGTTCATAAAGTTGAATTCAAATATAGCAGGTTTTTCTCTTGTCTGGGAACCGACTGGGTAATTTAGTGTCTTTTCTGGGCTCCCGACACTGAGCTTAAAAGTTTTGTTTTGACTCATTCTAGGCTTTAATCTTTGGGGAGAATGCTAAAATCTAAAACAATAATTCACACGTGCTAAAATGAGACGGCTGAGAGGAGGCATGGGAGAATTGATTGGACCGTTCTGATTGGGGAAAGAGACAGAGGGCAGAAAGATGAGAGGAAGAGGAGAGGGGACGTTCTTGAAAAACTCCTCTGTATTGCGACAGCTGGCTACTGCAGATAACCACAAAACCACTGGAGCACTTGAGGTCTGGGTGCTGCTTGGCTAGAGTTCCACTCCAACATGACCTTATATCCTGCCTGGGTTTAGACGCAGGGGCTTGGTCAGAGTACCACATCCTGACAATTATCCCAAGTGACAGAATCAAGAAGTCTGTCTGCCTGACTAAATTGAGTTCATAAATCCCTCTTGTACGAGCGTGTGTGTGTGTGTGTGTGT